CATGGACAGGAACTACCCCAGCGCCGGCTTCGGGGACCCGCTCGGCGCCGGGGCGGGATGGAGTTACGAGAGGTCAGCGAAAGCTAGGTAAGGAGCTGAGGGGAGGGGGGTTCTGGAGATGCAGGTCCAGGGACTTGGGGGGCTTGGGGGGCTCTCCAGCTTGGCCTGGGCCCGGGGCCCGCTTCGGTGACGCGTGCATTGCAAACTCCCCCTCCGGCTTTTGCAAGGGAGCGGCCTGCTGGGGGTTAGTAACGCCGCCGCCGCCGCCGCCGCCGCCGCCCCAGTTTGCAAATTGCAAACTCCGCCAAAGCCAGCTCCGGCTTGCAAAAGGGAGAAATGAAGCCAGGCAGGGTGCAAAAACAATTTCCGACCGGGAAGGCCTTGGAAAGATGGGAAGGATTGACGAAGCCAGGCCTGGACTCTTCCCCCCCACACCCCCCCATCCTTGGATTCCCGGCTTGCTGACCCCTCCCCCTTGGCGTCCCTGGCTCTGCTCTTGCAAAGGTGGGCAGACAGGAGGATTAGCTCTTGGAACTGGGGGGGCGCACACCCCCCCGTCAGGTCCTATTGTTCCGGGACTGCGCGAGGCTGGGCCACTTGGGCCCTCCTCCCTCCAAGAAATTCCGCGCGCAGAGTGGGCATCGGGCCCCGCCCCCTTTTAAAACTAGGGTTCTGTGTGTTTGGTCGGGGGGCGCCCTGGCATTTGGGACACGCCTCCTTTTGCTCCCCCCGACCCCCAAAGCTGGGAATCCTAGTTGATGGAGTGGTGTTTTGCCCTCCAGTCTCGGGCCACGCATGGGGCCCTCGCATGGGTAGAGTGGGAGCTATTCCCCGAGTGTGTTTGTGTGTCAGCGTGGGCCCTGTGCATGCGTGTCTGGCCGCGTGTTCTGCTGTGAACCTGCCTTCTGCTTGCACTTGAATCGGTTGTGTGTCCTCTTCACCTGTCGTCCCTTCCATCCCAGCCCCGTTTCCCCAGAGTGTTCAGATTTTTCTCTAGACCTTTCCTTCCCCACGGGTGCATCGAATCCACGTTTGTACACACACACACCTGGCTTGGCCTGGGCCCATGCACTTGAACCTCAGCCCCTGGGTATTCATGTTGGTACTTGCCCCTGGGGCTTTCCTATGGTCCTAACCCCTCCCCACTACCTCCCCCTGCCATTTGGGGCACAAGCTGCCTCCTGCTTCCTCCTTTGTTCAGGGTCTCTACTATTCCAGCGAAGGATGGGGGTGTCCATGTGCCTCTCCAGAGTTTGCCCTTTGGGTCTGGGACAGGGCAGGGCTCCATAGGAGGACCACGCCTTTCATATGTGTTCTTGTGGACGCATCTCTTGACTTCCTTCCTCCTGTGTGCCTTGTGTGCCTGTGTTTGCAAACGTGAGACTCTGCAGTGCTCAGGAATAGGATCATTTCTGTGCCTATTTCATTGGACACCTTGATTCCCTGGTGTTAGCCCCAGGTTCCTCCAGTCAAGTGGGAGGGTCCCTCCAAGTCCCCAGGGATGTCCTCACCATCATCATCACCACCACCACCATCACCATCACCCTACTCAGAGCATCGCTGGAGAGAGTTTACTGACATCTCTCCCCTTGCCCCCCAGCTTGGTCTACGGCAGCTCCCGGACCTCGCACCCAGAAACCGACATCTTGCACCGCCAGGCCTACGCGGCCCCCCACCCGCTGCAGAGCTATGCCACCAACCACCACCCGGCAGGTACGGCCCCTATCCCGCCCGTCTTGGCCTGGCCCGCCCTCGGAGTCCTCGGATTGGATGCCGAAAGTTCCGCCCCTCCTAATTGGTCATGCCCTGGGTCGCGGCCCTCCTTTTTGCTGCCTCTGCTCTGATTGGCTGCCTGTGAGGTGGCTGCTTTCCACCCTGGATTTGTCCAGCCTGGCTGTGGCCCGCCCCGTTTCTTTCCTATTGGCTGCTAATCGTTGGTCCCCAAATCCCACCTTCTCTTCCAGGCTTTTCCGCCTCTCTCCAGGCCACAGGCTATTTCCTGCGGGTTTTCCCTGTCCTCCCCTAGCACCTTCGCTCCTTTTTTTTTCTTACAGTAACCTTATCTGCTACCTTGGCCTTGCCGCCCACGCATCTGATTGGGTCCCTTCCCTTTGCGCTTTTACATCCAGTACCCTATCTTCTCCATCTTCTACCCCTTTTGACTTTTTGCGGGTGCTTCTGTGGTGCTGGGAATGGAACCCAGGGCCTCACACATGCTAGGCAAGTGTTCTACCACCCCATCCTCCTCTCCCTTCTTCCTTCCTTTATTTAATTCTGGGTCTCAAGATGCTCGGTTTGTCCTTGAATCTCTGATCTTCCTGCCTCAGTCTTTTGAGTGCTGGAGCAGCAAGGCCCACTTTTCTTTATGACCCTGAGATTCTCTGTTCCCTCCAGCCCTTTCTTGGAATCTATTTGGTTTTCTGCACTCCCTTCCTCTCTTAACCCTGCCCTTATCACTCCCTCCACCCCCTCCCACCCCCGCCCCCAAACTTTGCTGACTCTGTCCTCTTGTCCCTGGTCAGGCCTCTCTGGACTTTTCGACACTGGCCTCCACCACGCGGGCTCAGCAGGGCCCGACGCCTCCGTCATGAACCTCATCTCCGCCCTGGAGTCCCGGGGCCCCCAGCCTGGCCCCTCTGCTTCCTCTCTCCTCTCCCAGTTCCGCAGTCCTTCCTGGCAAACAGGTAAGCCCAGTGCTAGGCCCCAGAGGGCTGGGGAGGGACTCGTTTGGGGTCCATTCTGACCTACGGTCTTCTCCATCATCCCCAGCCATGCACACACCAGGTCCCACGGAGCTCTTCATCTCTGGCGCCCTCCCCGGTTCCAGCACCTTTCCGTCTTCCTCTGCCCTGTCCGCCTACCAGCACCCGGCTTCCTTCGGCAGCCGCCCCTTCCCGGTGCCCTCATCCCTCAGTCTCCAAGATCCCCCCTTCAGCCCTCCTGCTAATGGGCTCCTTTCCCCCCACGATGTGCTCCATCTGAAGCCCTCGCAGGCACCTGCAGTACCCTCCTCGTTGGGGTTTGAGCGCCTGGCAGGGGGTGGTGTCCTGGGGCCCGCTGGCCTTGGCCCTGCTCAGACCCCTCCTTACCGTCCTGGTCCCCCAGATCCACCCCCGCCTCCCCGCCACCTCCCGACTCAGTTCAATCTGCTGGCCTCCTCTTCTGCTGCTGCGGCCGCTGCAGAGCCTTCCTCCCCTCAGCTCTACAACTTCTCGGGTGCCGCCCCAGGTCCGCCACCCGAGCGGGCCCTGCCCCGACAGGACACGGTCATCAAACACTACCAGCGGCCAGCCAGTGCCCAGCCCCCACCGCCCCCCCCACCTGCCCATACCCTGCAGCACTATCTAAGCTGTGGAGGCAGCTACCCCTCCATGGGCCACCGGGCTAGCTTGGCTTGCAGCCCTCTGGGTGGTGGGGAACCCTCTCCAGGTGCTGGAGAACCTAGCAAGGCTGGACCCAGCGGAGCCACAGCTGGGGCAGCTGGCCGGGCCACGGGCCCAGAGACAGCTGGAGGAGGTGGGGCTGGGGGGGGTGGTGGATACCGCCCCATCATCCAGTCTCCTGGTTACAAGACCAGCAAGGGCGGTTATGGACCAGCTGCAGGGGGTGGTACCAGACCCCCACCACCTCGCTCTACTGCCACGCCCAAGTGTCAGAGCCTGGGTGGGCCAGCGGCAGCTTATGCCGCTGGAAAAGCCTCTGGGGCTGGAGGGGCTGGGGGCCAGGCATATTCCCCTGGTCAGCCCCAAGGGCTGCTGGGACCTCAGGCCTATGGGCAGGGGTTTGGAGGGGGTCAAGCACAGGACTTAAGCAAAGGCCCTAGCTATTCCGGGGGTCCCCCACAACCCCCCAGCGGCCCCCCACCTCCTGGCCTGTCCACTTGTCAGAGTTACTCTCCAGACCAGCTCCAAGGGCAGCTCTATGGGGTACAAGGTGAACCTTACCCAGGGCCAGCTGCCCATTCCCAGGGGCTTCCCACAGCCAGCCCCTCCCTCAGCTACAGCACTGGGCATTCCCCGGCACTCTCTGGCCACGGAGGTGGCTGGGGACCCAGTTCCCTGGGAGGAGGTGGGGAGGCTAGCCCATCTCATATCATCCGTCCGCTCCAGTCACCACCTGCTACTGGTCGCCCTCCTGGCGTTGGCTCTCCTGGCGCCCCTGGCAAATACTTAAGCTCAGTCTTAGCTTCAGCTCCATTCCTGGCACCCCCCGGAGCGGGCAGCTATGCAGCTGGAGCAGGTGGCTATAAGGGAAAAGGAGATGGCTCGGACCTACTGGCCGGCCCTGGTGCAGCTACCTCTGAGCGCACGGAAGATGAGGAGTTCCTGATTCAGCACCTGCTGCAGGCACCCAGCCCACCTCGGACCTCAGGGGCAGACGGCTTGGTGGGCGAGGATGGGCCGACCGATGCCTCCAAGGGACTTGGAGGTAGTGGCGGGGCTGGAGGACCACCAGGTACACCGTATGAGTTGGCCAAGGAAGACCCCCAAAGGTACCACCTGCAGAGTGTCATCCGGACCAGTGCCAGCCTGGATGAGGGTGCCACAGCCGCGCTGGAACTGGGCCTGGGGAGGGTAAAGGAGAAGAAGAAAGGGCCGGAGCGGGGTGGTGAGACCCCCGAGGGTCTTGCTACCTCGGTTGTCCACTATGGAGCAGGTGCCAAGGAATTGGGCGCTTTCTTACAGAAGAGCCCCCCACCACCCCCACCCCCCATGCCCCTGCAACTTGAGGCCCACCTTCGCAGCCATGGCCTGGAGCCCTCAGCCCCAAGTCCTCGCCTAAGACCTGAGGAGAGCCTGGAGCCTCCCGGGGCCATGCAAGAACTACTTGGGGCTCTGGAGCCATTGCCACCAGGGCCTGGGGACACTGGTGTGGGCCCGCCTAACTCAGATGGCAAGGATCCCACTGGTGCCTACCGGAGCCCCAGCCCACAAGGGACCAAGGCACCACGGTTCGTGCCTCTCACATCAATCTGCTTCCCTGACTCCTTGCTCCAGGATGAGGAGCGGAGCTTCTTTCCCACCATGGAGGAGATGTTTGGTGGGGGTGCAGCCGATGACTATGGCAAGGCTGGGCAGACTGAAGATGACGGAGACCCTAAGACAGGTGCCGGCCCACCTCCGGGTCCCCCTGCTTATGATCCCTATGGGCCCTACTGTGCAGGCCGGGCATCTGGAGCTGGACCAGAGACTCCAGGTCTGGGTCTGGACCCCAGCAAACCCCCCGAGCTTCCCTCCACGGTCAACGCAGAGCCACTGGGCCTGATCCAGAGTGGGCCACACCAGGCAGCACCACCGCCTCCACCACCTCCACCGCCACCTGTTTCTGAACCCAAGGGTGGCCTCACCTCACCTATCTTCTGCTCAACCAAGCCAAAGAAGCTGTTAAAGACATCCTCCTTCCACCTGCTCCGGCGCCGAGACCCCCCCTTCCAGACACCCAAGAAGCTGTACGCCCAGGAGTATGAGTTTGAGGCCGATGAGGACAAAGCAGACGTTCCCGCAGACATCCGTCTAAACCCCCGGCGCCTGCCCGATCTGGTGTCCAGCTGCCGGTCCCGGCCGGCCCTCTCTCCGCTGGGTGATATAGACTTCTGTCCGCCCAACCCTGGTCCAGATGGCCCTCGGCGTCGTGGCCGAAAGCCCACTAAGGCAAAGCGCGATGGTCCTCCCCGGCCTCGGGGGAGGCCACGGATTCGTCCACTGGAGGGTCCAGCCACCTCAGGGCCAGCCTCAGCCTCGATGACCACAGATGGGGCCAAGAAACCTCGGGGCCGGGGTCGGGGCCGAGGCAGGAAACCTGAGGAAATGGGAGGCACCCGGTTGGAGCCCCTAAAGCCACTTAAGGTGAGGGGGACTGGCTCAGGGTGAGGTTGGCCTGGGATGTCTTAGAAAACATGGAAAGGAAAAGGGAAAAGTGCCAGGCTCCAGGCATCAGGGCTGCGGCTACATCATTAAGAAGCACGAGGGTTTCACACTGAGATGGAATTCTGGAGTCTCTGTGAGATAGAGGATTTTAGCCTGTAGTTCATGAGGGGACAGTGTGAGGACCCGGAACCTGGAACTCTGTATGTAGACCAGGCTAGCCTCAAATGTTGCACCTGGAAGGATGGGCTGGACTGTCAGCTGCTGTGTGCCTGAGTCCTGCTGGAGTGGGGACCGCTAGCTTAGCATCCTGGCTCTTAAAAAAGTATCAGTAGGGTTGAAATCCAGGACTCCACAGGCTGAGTGCAGGGATCTGGGCTTAGTCTTAAGTGAGGTGGGGTATAGGGCCCCTGAATGTGAGGGATGAGATTGGGTCTGGACTCCTTGGTTGGAGGGAGGAGACTGGGGGAGGCTGAGGTCTGCAGCACTGGATCTGAGGGAGGAGGGTGGGTCTGAAGGAGGCAGGCTGGGGTCTGGAGTCCTGGACCCTGAATCCCTACTGCCCTCTTGTCTAGATCAAGTTGTCTGTGCCCAAGGCTGGTGAGGGCCTAGGAGCTCCGTCCAATGACGCCATCTCCGGCACTGATCACAACAGCCTGGATTCCAGCCTTACCCGGGAGAAGATGGAGGCAAAGATCAAGGAGGTGGAGGAGAAGCAGCCAGAGATGAAGTCGGGCTTTATGGCCTCCTTTCTGGACTTCCTAAAGTCGGGCAAGCGGCACCCACCACTCTACCAAGCTGGCCTGACACCCCCACTCAGCCCGCCTAAGAGTGCGCCAGCATCAGTGCCCACCCGAGGCCTGCAGCCCCCACCGCCTGCTGCTCCCACTGTGCCACATCCCACGCCCTCTGGCCCTTTCGGCTTGGGGGGTGCTCTGGAAGCCGCAGAGAGTGAGGGGCTGGGGCTGGGCTGTCCTTCACCCTGCAAGCGGCTGGATGAGGAGTTGAAACGTAACTTGGAGACGTTACCCTCTTTCTCCTCGGATGAAGAAGATTCCGTGGCCAAGAATCGTGACCTACAAGAAAGCATCTCCTCAGCCATCTCTGCCCTAGATGATCCACCCCTTGCGGGGCCTAAGGACACTTCTACATCTGAGGAGCCACCTTTGGACCCTGAACCTACCGTCCCAGGTCCGCCCCCTCTCCCAAGTCTGCCCAACACCAATAGCAGTGGCACTCCTGGTAAGTTATCAGAAGGAGGTCTGGGCTGGTATGAGAGTTTTTTGAGTCTGTAGACGCTGTTGTACTCTGTTGTACAGATGGACACTGTTAGTGGGTTTCCCAAAATGTAGACAGTATAGCACTTGACAAGGGTTCGTTCCTGACTGAGGGTAAAAAAATGCTTTTTGAGAAAGGAGATTTAAAAAAAAAAAAAAAAAAACTCAGGTGCTCTTGGGCCCTAGAAAGTGCTGGGGACAGGTAATAGGGGTAACAAGATTTTTAGAAACCGCTAGGGGGTATGGGTCTGAGGAGTCAGGAATGAGGCCTATTCCTAAAAAGGCCTGGTAGCTTCTAAGGTTTTTGGTTCATGGGCACATCAAGCTGGATCAGGATTAAAAGAATTCTGGGAACATGGCTCAGTGGTAGAGCCCCTGCCTAGGATCCCCCAGTGAGGGGCTGGGGTGTGGCTCAGTGGTAGAGCCCCTGCCTAGGATCTCCCAGTGAGAGGCTGGGGTGTGGCTCAGCGGTAGACCCCCTGCCTAGAGTCCCCCAGTGAGGGGCTGGGGTGTGGCTCAGGGGTAGAGCCCCTGCCTAGAGTCCCCCAGTGAGGGAGTTGTGTTGTTTGCCTAATGTATAAAGGACCTGGGTTCCATCTAGCCTATAAAAAAGAAGGCAACTGTGGGTGACATGAACAGGCCAGGCACTAGACAACAGGGAGGTAGAGACCAGGAGGGATTTATAAAAGGAGATGAAGATCCCAGGGAGATAATCAGGAATTGGAGTCGGGACATTACAGTGGGCCAGGCATGGTAGGGCGTGCTTTAATCCCAGAACTGAGGAGGCAGAGGTAGGCAGATCTCTGTGAATTTGAGACCAGTCTGGGCTGCATAGTGAGGCCTTGCTTCAAAAAAAGGATGTGGAGTTAAGAGCCAGGCGAAGGCTTTGAGAAATGACTCAGGATTGATGAGGGCCTTGGGGCTATGAGATGGGTTTCAGGAGCTGTGTAGCTGCTGAAGCTATACTGGGGTCTCACAGAGAGATCTAGAGCTGGGCTGAGTGTAGAGACCTCCACAGGAGAACGTTTTTTCTGTTGTCCACCTCTAGTGAGGCCCAAAGACATTTCTATCCCAGAAGGGCCGCTGGGGGCCAAGTGGCAATTGGGGAAATGGGCTTGTGGCTACATGGGGACAAGCCTGGGCTACATGACGAGGACATCTAGACCTCCCTCTCTTCCTCAGAGCCCCCGTTGCTGGAGGAAAAGCCTCCACCCACCCCGCCTCCTGCCCCAACACCTCAGCCTCCTCCTCCTCCACCACCACCACCACCACCACCACCACCACCTCCAGCCCTGCCATCACCTCCTCCACTGGTGACCCCTGTGGCGAGCTCGCCTCCTCCACCGCAGCCACCACCCCCACCAGCACTGCCCTCGCCACCCCCGCCACCACCGGCAGCTGTTGCACCAGCTGCCCCTTCCGAGGAACCCGCTGCCCCATCCCCAGAGGACCCTGAACCCCCAGACGCTCGGCCTCTACACCTGGCCAAGAAGCAGGAGACTGCAGCCGTATGCGGGGAGACAGATGAGGAGGCCGGTGAGAGCGGTGGTGAGGGCATCTTCCGAGAGCGGGACGAATTTGTCATCCGTGCTGAGGACATCCCCTCCCTCAAGGTGAGTCTGACCGAGTGCCCCAAGCCAGTGATGACTGAGCTGAGTGACAGCTGTGTCTGGTTGGGAGGACCATATGCAAAGTGCAAAGTGGCCTACATGGGCTTGCTGGGACACTTCGGGGTCCGTGGTCTCCTCTGGTTGATTACAGTGATTGCTTGAAACACTTACTGTAATGGAAGACACAGGACTCTGGATGGTATAAGTAACCACCTAGGAAGATTGTGGTGTTCATGTCTCTGCCCAGAACACTGTTGTGGGTGCTCAGGGTGCAGTCAGATGCAAAGCAGGAGAAATTCAGTCTTGGGGATTTTCTTTTTCTTCATTCATTCATTCATTCATTATTTATTTATTTATTATTTATTTTTGGTCTTTTTGAGACAGGGTCTCCCTGTAGCCCCAGCTGGCCTGGACTCACTATATAGACCAGGCTGGCCTTGAACTCACAAAGATCCATCTGCCTCTGCCTCCTGAGTGCTGGGATTAAAGGTGTGCACCACCACTCCTGGCCTGTTTATTGTCTTTTTAAGGCAGGGTCTTCCTGTAGCCCCAGCTGGCCTAGAACTCACTATGTAGACCAAGCTGGCCTCCAACTCACAGGTCTGCCTGCCTCTGCCTCCCAAGTGCTGGGATTAAAGGTGTTCACCACCACGCCCAATGTTTATTTATTTGTTTTTAAATATTTTATTTTTATTTTATGTGTATGGGTGTATTGCCTGCAAGTGTGTAAATGCACCTGTGTTGTGCAGTGCCTCGGAGGTCAGAAGGAGGCATCGGATTCCCATGGAACTGGAGTAACAGATGGTTGTTAGCTGCCATGTGGATGCTGGGAATTGAACCCAGGTCCTCTACAAGAGGACCTTAAATATAAGGTTGAGAGCAGCACTAAACTGGGTATAAATGTAATTATTTAGAAGACAGTTTGACAAGTCCATTTAGCAAAACAACAATAGGTTTTCCCCTTTCTTCCCCTCTGGTCGTAGGGCCTTTCAAGCCATGGGCTTTTGGCTAATTTTATAGTACCAGGCATGAATTCCCTCCTGTGAAGCAGGCATCATATCTAATCGGAAAGCGGTTGATTGCCCCTATAACTCATACCACTGTTGCACCAGCAGGCACCTTGCCTGGCATGTCCCTGTTGTAGCATTCAGGACTGGGTAATGCCATATCTTGGGGACTTTCTACCAGAATGGAACAGGCCAGAGAGAAGGTTCTTGTTTACACTGACATTGACCTGACACAGGAACACATATACTGCAGCTGTAACAGCTAGTCTCTTGGGAAATGCTCATGCTGCGTCAGGCTGAGTCTTAAATACTTGATGTAGAGCCAGGCTTGATGGATGCAGGCCTCTTATCCCAGGTCCTCTGAAGGCTGAGGCAGGAGAATCATAAATTCAAGGCATGCCTGGGCTACATGTAGAAGTCTAGCCTGGAAAATGTAGTGAGAGACCCAGTATTTTTTTTTTTTTCCTTTTTGAGACAGGCGCTCCCTGCAGCCTCAGCTGACCTGGAACTCACTATGTAGACTAGGCTGGCCTCCATCTCACAGAGATCTGCCTGCCTCTGCCTCCTGAGTGCTGGGACTACAGGCGTGTGCCACCACGCCCTGAGAGACCCAGTCTTGAAATAAATACAGACAGGGATGGAGTTCAGGCAAGCACCTGCCTCTTGATATACATCTGCCTATCTGCGTCTCATTCTGTATCTCAGGCTGATCTCAAACTTAGAGCAACCCTCCTGCCTCAGCTTCTTGAGCACAGGTATGACAGGTGTGGGATGTGGCTTAGTGGTGGAGCCCCTGCCTAGAATCCCCCAGTGAGGGGCTGGGGTGTGGCTCAGGGGTAGAGCCCCTGTCTAGACTCCCCAGTGAGGGGCTGGGGGTGTGGCTCAGCAGTGGAGCCCCTGCCTAGAGTCCCCCAGTGAGGGTCTGGGGCGTGGCTCAGCGGTAGAACCCCTGCCTAGAATCCCCAGTGAGGGGCTGGGTTGTGGCTCAGTGGTGGAGCCCCTGCCTGGAATCTGCTGTCTTCTGGTCATGGTTGGGGACTCCCATGATGCTTAGCATAGGGTGCTCAGCTGGCTGTGGTCTCTCTGTTGGTGCCTACCGCTGAGCTCTTTGCCCGTCTGTGGCAGGATCACCATTGCTGTTGGTGTTGTCCCATCGTGTTGACCGCCTGCACTTCCTTTCCAGTCCACGTGGACAGTGGGATGAATTTATGATAAAGACAGAAACTGTTCACACATCTTTTGTGAGGTGAACTGAGCAAAGGTTTTGCTTCTCTTGGATGGGGTCTTGTTAGCTCAGGCTGGACTTGACCTGCTCAGCCTCCTGAGTGCTGCAGTTCTAGGCATAACCTAGCATGTTTGCATTCTAAAGTTTGCCTTTATCTATATATTTCTGTGTTTAAAGGACCAGGGACTGGGGCTGATGAGACAGCTTACCAAGTAAAGGCACTTGCTGCCAACCTGACAAACTGAGTTTGATACAGAACCCACGGGACACAACAAGAGAAAGGACTTCTGCAAATTTTCCTCTGATCTCCATACATGCTGTGACTCAGCGCCTGTCCCCGTATAGACACATAGGCTAAACAGCTAAACAAACAATGTTTAAAAATAAGTAATGAGCCAGGCATGGTGGAACTCACCTTTAATCCCAGCGCTTGGGAGACAGAGTCAGGAGAATCTCTGTGAGTTGGAGGCCAGCCTGGTCTACATAGTGAGTTCCAGGACAGCTGGGGCTACATGGAGACCCTGTCTCAAAAAAAAGACCTTTAAAAAAATAAAATAAAATAAAATAAATAAATAAATAATCTCAGTGTGGTGATGCACACCTTTAATTCCAGGACCTGAGAGGCAGAGATGAGACAGGCAGATCTCTGTGAGATCAAGGCCAGCCTGTTCTACATAGCAAGTTTCAGTCTAGCTGGGGCTACAGGGAGACCCTGTCTCAAAAAACTAAAAATAGGGGCTGGAGAGATGGCTCTGGTTAAGAGCACAGACTACTCTTACAGAGGACCTGGGTTCAATTCCCATCACCTACATGGCAGCCATCTGTAACTCCAGTTCCAGGGGATCCAACATCCTGTCCTGACCTCGGTGGGCATTGCACAACACAGGTGCACTCACACACACAGGCAATACACTCATATACATAAAATAAAAATAAAATACTAATTTTAAAAAACCTAAAAATAAATAAATAAATTGATGGAGGGGCTGGAGAGATTGCTCAGTGGTTAAAAGCAGATACTGCTCTTGCAGCAGACCTAGGTTAGGTTCCCAGCACCCACATCATGTGGCTCATAACTGCCTGTAAGTTCAGCAACAGAGGATCCAATGCCTCTGGCAACACAGGCATCATTGTATTCATATACATACACACACAAAGGACACATAAACATAAGTAAAAGTAACAAAAAATTTTTAAGATGGGTGTGGTGGAACACTTAATCCCAGTACTCAGGAGGCAGAAGCAGGCAGATCTCTGTAGTTCCTGGCCAGCCAGGGCTGCATAGTAAGATCCTGTCTTAACAAGAAAGAGTAAGAAAGAAGAAAAGTTAATGGGAACTGGGTATAGTGGTCTGCACCTTTAATCCCAGCACTTGAGAGGCAGACGCAGGTGACTCTCTGAATTCGAGGCCAGCCTGGTCTACATAGGGAGTTCCAGGCCAGCTGGGGCTACAACAGGAAGACCCTGTCTCAGAAAACAAAAACAAAGAAGATGGAGATTGAGCCCATTCCAGGCAGGGCTGCTAAACTGTGTCCCCAACCCTTGTACTTTATTATAATTTGTGTACATGACAAATGTGTGGGCACGCACATGCCACAGCACATGTGTGGCGTTCTGAGGAGAGCTTTGTTGCGTTGGTTTTTTTCCTTCTACCCTTACGTGGGTTTAGGTATTGAACTCACACTTGCACGGCGCCCTCACCACTGCGCTAGCCCCTACTCTTTATTTTGAGGTAGTGTCTCACTGAATTACCCACGCTGCGCTGGACCCCCACTGTGTGTTCCAGGCAGACCTCAAGCTTCGAACACGTGTCCTGTCACTTGTGCTCTGGCTTGGGTGAACAGGTTCCAGGTGGTGCCTTGGCCATCATGCCCTACAGAGAGAGAAGGCCTTGGGAAGGGCCCATCCGCTGACTGGTGCTGTTGGGACAGGAGCCAGGGCCGTCCACCCGACACCACTTTCCAGTTGGTATGGGACAGGAAAGGGGCCAGGCGAGGACTCAGACGCTTAAAATACAACTCAAGTGTGCGCTCTGGCAGGTGGCACAGAGCCCTGAGGCCACACTTCTTGTTGGTGTTAGTGTCCTGGAGGCGAGTCAGGCTCCCGGATACCAGATCAGGACCAGATCTGGGCTGGTGTCTCTTCATCCCAAGTCTGTTTCCTCAGCTGAGCTGATCCCATTCGTAATGGAATGTGGAGGGGCCTCAGGTGACGTGGTCTAGCCTGGTCAACAGTAGGCAGCATGCAGAAGGTGCCGGGAATGTTGGATCTGCTGCTCATGATGCTGATACTGGGCTGGATTTTACTACAGAAACTGGCAAATGTTCTGTAAAAGGCAGATGATAGTTCAGGCTGTTCCATGATTAGGTTTGATGTGTATGTGTGTGTGTGTGTGTGTGTGTGTGTGTGTGTGTGGTTGTGTGGTGTGTTTTTTTTAAGTGTTAACTGTTTTTACAATCCTTTCTTTTTTTAAAATTTTAAAAAATTATTATTTTTATGTGTATGAGTACTGCCTGCATGTATGTGAGTGCATCCATGTTGTGCAATGCTGCAGAGGTCAGAAGAGGGCTTCCGATTCCCCTGGAATTGGAGTTAAGGATGGTTTGTAGCCACCATGTGAGTGCTGGGAATCAAACCAGGGTCCTCCTCAAGAGCAGTCAGTGCTCTTAACTGCTGAGCCATCTCTCTAGCCCTGTCTCTTTTTCTTTTTTGAGACAGGTCTTACTATATAGCCGATTGTCCTAGAACTTGCTGTGTTAGAACAGGCTGGC